GGCAGGCTACATTATATATCTCTCACGTTTTCCTTTTTTCTGGGTTTTACCAAATCAATTTGATGTCAATTTAGGTTTGAATGTTCCTACTCCCCAAATTATTATTTTTTTGGGTTCCGGGTGTAGAATTGGAACCAGAACTCTGTTACGTAATAAAATTGGTTTGACACTGGTTACTATTAACTATTCAGACGAAAAGATTGTTCTTTTATTTTTCCTGGGCTTATGGATTCTGAAAGGAAATAACAAGGTTTTGGACAAAGCAGTGCACATATATGAACTTGATTTACCTTCTCTTGTATGGATACTATCTTTACTGATTAAGATTACAAACAGTTTCAGCTCTTATTCACCACTACATATGTACGAGGAGGCATGATTGATAAATTGCCAAAGCTGTGGCTATTTGCTATCACCCGGTTCGTCGAGAAAGCTGCTCCTGATATGTGCTCTCGAAGATCTTGTCAGCATTTCCAACCTCAAATCCATCGCGTCGATGAGACTCTTTTATCTGCGTTAATTTCATAATGTCAATTCACAGTGCTAATACAAAAACTTGAATCAGCTTACATTATGATGGTAAGTAACTAAGAGGAGTTCTCTAAGCAATGGGAAGCAAAAGATCGCATCGATTCACAGTACATGAACTATAAATAAGTCACGGTTCAATCAGAATCATCACTTACATCGCTTTCGGGTACATTTTGGAACTGGGGCAGCACAAGGCGTTCAGCAAACTCAATGTATGAACAAGGGATAGATTTGACGACACCATCAGAGAACTTGAACGAAATCGAATCAGCTACGGTTGAGCTTTGCAGCAAACCACCATCAGGGCTAACTGAGAAAATGGAAATATACGTCAATCGTTATCTTTGTTTTTGTTTATTCCAGGAACTATATAAGATTAGTTTGCGGGTTTGACGATACTAAACCTTTAAGGACTCCTCCTTCAGAATTCAATTTGAAACCTTTTTCTTCAAGGAACTGATTGAGCTTCTTGATTTTGTTTAAATGGGATTTAAGCCGATGGACAGAAATCGTAACATGGTTAAGAGCATAGCCATTGACAAGAGTCCATGCTGCGTATTCACTTTCCCTGTATATCCATTTAACCCAACACACTTTCAATTAGAGTCAATACACTTTCAATCTATCAAAATCCAATAGCAAACCAAGAGAATTAGACCAATTTACCTAGCCAATTGCTCAAACTCAGAAGATAGAGGCTTTTCCCAAGGTAAAATACCCAAAGCACTAGAAAGAGCAGCATACTTTTTCCCACCGGGCGATGCTTCAGTGTATTTTCTAATCACATCCTACAATCAAGAGACATTGCCTTCAAATCAGCCAATAAACAATCAACCATCCAGGATCAAACCAAGGACAGTATATATATATACCTGAGCCTGTGAAGTCATCTGCTCAACAAGCAGCTCTGAGATAAAAACTCTTGGTAAAGGACCGTTAACGCCGCTTCCACAAGGAAGCGCAGAATCATCAGGAGGTGCAAACCATAAAGCTCTTAGTTTTTTAGCTGGAAATTTCAGCTCATCCATTTGAGTATATCCATAGTCAAGGAAAAAGCTTGCAAGTGAGTCAATCCCATAACCACCAATCTAAACATATTTCACACAGACACAAGACCAATAATGAATGGTTTAACTTTGTTAAAAACCTTAAAACTGTATTTGAAGCAGCCAAAAAAAAAAACAGGAGATTCAAGAGATTGTACACCGAAGGTCCTGAAAGCGAGATGATCATAGCAAAGTTGTTCGTTACCATCAAGGGATCGGACAAGTTCCAAGACAGATTTAGGAGTAGGGTTTCGATTTAGGTAAACAGTTTCCATTTGCCCTAAAACACTCCTGAAGAATGATTCAGCAACCTGGTCCAGAACCAATTCGCAATTCAAAAACAAGAGCAATCGACATGAACATGGTTATGCTAAACACACACTAGAGTGCAAATTTGTGATTACGATTAGAGAGAGAGATAAACAGAAGAAGGAACCTGAGAAGACAATCGGCGAGAACCATTGTTTGATGACATGGAGGAGCCTCCTATAGAGGCAGAGACGACGGAGAGATTCCGTTTTACCTTGGAGGGAAGAAGAGATCGAGAAGAGAAGGAAACAGAGAGTGATCGGAGAGGAAGGAAGTTACAAGGAACAGAGCGGTGGAGAGAAGCTTTGATGGCAGAGGAATGGAGTGAAATCATGCTCGAGGTCGTTGGTTTTCTCGCCGAAAAGCGCTTTGAAAACTCCGATCACGAATTTAGAGAGAGAGAGGTTACGTACTTGTCTTCCTCTCGTACAGA